ATATCAAAATCAAAAAAAAAAACACAAAGTAATCGTTATATTAGGGTCTAATCTAGTTTTTTGTTAGTAAAATGGGAAAACCAAATTATCTCTGAGTTATAACCTATGGTTCAATCAGTTAAGTTCCCTTAAAAGCCAAAATAAAACTTAGAAAATTCTAGAAACATTTAATTGGAATATTATTATCTATATACTGATTTATTTGAGAGGTAGAGAGAGCTCCCATCTGCTAGTTCACTCCCCAAATGCCTACAACGGCCAAGACCAAACCAGGGGCTAAGAATTCAATCCAGGTCTCTCACACGGATGGCAGGAACTCAAAATACTTCAACCATGCTCATCTAAGTCTGTATTAGCAAGGAACTGGAGTCAGCAGTCCGAGGTAGAAATCAAACCCAGCTACTCCAAAATGCCTGCCCCCATTAGCAATATTTTAATAACTTCTGAAGAGTCTGTTCCCAATAAAACCTAGAAATTAGTTGTTATAGCTGATCCTTGAAGTTATATCCCTTATGTACAAATCTAGACTGTCAGCTATATAATCTTTCAAAAAAAAAAAAAAAAGAATATTTGGGCACATGTTATAGTGCAGAAGGTTAAGTCTCCACCTGCAATGCCAGCATCCCATATGGGCATGTTCCATGTCCATATGTTCCAGTCCAATCCGACTGCTCCGTTTCCAATCCGACTCCCTACTAATGTGCCTGGGAAAGCAATGGATGATGGTCCAAGTTCTTGGGCCCCTGCCACCCACATGGGAGACCCAGATGAATCTCCTGGCTCGTGGCTTCAGCCTGGCCCAGCCCAACCATTAAAACCATTTGAGGACTGAACCAGCAGATAAAAGATCTGTGTGTGTGTGTGCGTGTGTGTGTGTGTGTATCTATCCCTCTCTCTCTGTAACTCTGCCTTTCAAATAAATAGATATTTCAAAAATCTTAAAAATAAAAAAGAATATGGTATATGAATATACAAGGAAGTCTTCAAATGTTATGGAAAGTGTATTATGAAAAAGTTATACATAGATGTCAAAATTGTTTTACAGCACAATCTTTTAATTGCATTTTCCATGAACTTTTTTGAAGCCTCCTTGTATTATTTAACAAGAGAAATTAATGAAAAATGAAAGGCAGTAAATAATGCCAGCAAAGCTCAGGATGACTCAAAGGAGATAGAAGAGCAGTATTCGGGCCAGCACTATAGCGCAGCAGGTAAAGCCACCACCTGTAACACTGGCATCCCATATGGGCACCAGTTCAAAACCCTGGTGCTCCACTTCCCACCCAGCTCCCTGCAAATGTGCCTGGGAAGGCAGCAGAGGATGGCCCAAATACTTGGGCCCCTGGATGAAGCTCCTGGTTCCCAGACCCAGCCCGCAGAGCCCAGCCCTGGCCATTAAGGCTCTCTTTCTTTCTCTCTCTCCCTGTGCCTAACTGTGCCTCTCAAATAAATAAATAAATCTTTAAAAAAAAAAAAAAAAAAAGCAGTAACCAACCAGATTTGACAGGTCCAAGAAAGTTAAAGCCTGCAGGTGGAACACCTGTGAAGAAGCAAGTTGATTAAAGGCCCAAGACCTTGGACAGGTGCAGAGGGTGCCGTGGAAGGCAGGGTGGACACTTGAATAGAAGAAAACCAATGGAAAGGTGCTGAAGGAGATTCCCAGATCTCCGGCAGACACTGCAGGCCTCGTCTCCGGATTGAAAGAGCACACCCAAAGCCCAGGGCGAGGCACTGAAAAACAAAAAGGAGATGAGAAGACTGTATTTCTGTCACCTTAGCGCTCAATGTAGATGACCAAGGAACTTCGCTGCCACTCAAATGCACCACAAAGAAAAGTAGCTATTCTACCCAGAACTTGGACGAGACCTTGAGAGAAAATCCATTTCACAAATGAGCTGGGGACCTCAGATCATGTGCCTCTGTCTTCTCTCTGTTGAAACTGGGAAAAGACGTATTTTTCTAGTTTATCCACATTCAACTTGTTCTATTGAAATTGACCAGAAAACTAGTTATTAGGTTAAATGAGACTCAACACTGTCTCTGATCCCTCCATTATGTGAGGCACACTGGCTAAATGCTTTCTCTGGGAAAACAGAAGCTCCAGGTTTCAGTATATCGAAGTTACACAGGGTATGGGTATACACAGGGTATTCAAAAAGTTCATGGAAAACGTGTATCATGAAAAAATTACACATGGATTTCAAACGTCACACCAATATAAGACTTATCTTCTAATTCCATTTCTCAATTGCTCTTTTTGATATTTTTATTTGAAAGGTGGAGACAAAGAGAGAGAGTACACCAGATGGAGATATTCCATCCCCTGGTTCACTATCCAAAGGCATGCAACAGCCAGGGCTGGGCTAAGCTGAAGCCAGGAGCCAGGAATTCAATCTGGGTCTCCTGCATGCATGGCAGGGGCCCAAAGAACTTGAGCCATCCATAGCTGCCTCCAAGGGTGCATCAGCAGGAAGCTGGAATTGGGAGCAGAGCCAGGACTAGAACCCCCAGCCAAGAACTTTTTGAAGTATTTTCATACATCATTACTTCCTCAATGCACCTACATGAAGGTGCATTAAACCTACCATGTTTAAATGGTGATGTTTAACAGGAATCAAGATTCACCCTGTACCTTTCTATTTCCCTATTCCTAATTTAGGAACTTTAGTGCCAAACCTTAGGAGTTAACCCTTTCCCTTTCCTAAAACCTAATTAATCTAAAAAAAAAGAAATCCCAAAACAAAAATCAACCCAAAACAGTCATTTTTTAACAAATACATTTCCTATGTAAAGAATAACTTCTACAGGGGCTCGTAATGTGGCACAGCTGCTAAGCTGTGGCCCATGACGCCAGCATCCCATATAGGCACCAGTTCAAGTGCCGGCTGCTCTGTTTCCAATCCTGCTCCCTGCTAATGTGCCCAGGAAAGCAGCGGAACATGGTACAAGCGCTTGGGCCCCTGCCACCCATGTGGGAGACCTGGAAGAAGCTCCTGGTTTCAGCCTGGCCCAGAGTTGCAGCCATTTGGGAAGTGAACCATGGATGGCAGATGTCTCTTTCTCTCCTTTTCTCTCTCCCTAATTCTTCCAATTAAATAAATAAATCTTTAAAAAAAAAACTATAAAAACTAAAGACTACTCATGAGAACTTCTCAACTCTTTATTAATGAGATAGTAGAATCTAAAGCGAGGAAAATCCTACCTTCTGAGGGACAAATAAGAGGAGCTTTGAAATCAAAGTCTGGGTATCACATTCAGCTCTTAAAAGACAAAGCAAGCAGACACCTCACAGCATAACCTAGATGACTGACAGCAGTGACATCCAATCACACCTTGTTTAATTGGAGACACTGAGAACTGTGCTTCCTTTTTAATAAGTAGTGAGCACAGATGACTTCTCCAGCAAGCAAAAATAGGCGTATCAGACAATTTATGCTTCTACTTCTGTATTTTAACTGCAGAACATCTTTTGTGATGAGATGACTGTGAACTTGGCACTACTCTAGGACAACATTAGTAGGCTGTGGGGCCCATATTTTATCACAAGAAAGAGATAAGGACTTCCATTTGGCAAGCACCAAAGAAGCGCCCACATACCACCCTGTAAGGCATAGTTTCCAAGAATTTCCTGACATATACCCAACAAATAATCACATTCCAGGAGTTCTTGAAGCATATCCTAGTGACAAAAACGAACCCTGAGGTATTTCAGAATGGATATTTTGATCCGTTACTATCACTATTAGTTAGAATTTCATAACTGCTGTTCTCAAATAAGAAAAACAGAAAATAGGTGCTTTGGCCTTATTTTCCATCAACAAAATCTCTCCAGATATTTTTATTTTAAAGGTGTGATTGTTTTTTTAGCATCCACTTATGTTAGGCTGCCTCAGAAAATGCAAAAAAATGCAAATACAAAAGATTTTTTTCCATGGGAAGGAAATGTGAAAATGACAATAAACCCCTACATCTAATTACCTGAGTGGACAAAGACCCTGTTGGCCAAGACCCACTAGGTCCCTCAGGATCACCTCCTAGGTCATCTATGACACTGCAGTAAATATAGACAGAGAATTCATAGCACGGGTTCAAGGATCCCACCACCACCACCCAGAGACGTGCAATACTACAGAAACAAGAAAGGTAGAAGTGTGGCTCTTTACACTTCCTCCTCCGAACGCCAGTGTTCAGAGTGAAACAGCCCCAGGAGAACCACGTGGGCCCTCTGGTGTCCGACACACGTGCAAGCAGTGGGTGTGTGCATGGTGGGGTCCCTTCCTGGGACTGGGGCCTCCTTAGCTGGTGGCTGTCCATCGCCATCTCCTGAAAAGGCTGTATATGCTAAAGGATGCTATCCACCGTGAAATGCACGCGGCTCGCTGCTGCCACACCACAGCTCAAACAATTCAACACCGTGGCCAGGCCAGGTGAAGACTTCTGAAAAAGGCCACTGCTTCCTCCCACCCCATGGCCTCGTCCCAGGCTAAAGACAAGGTGCAAAGAATAAAGCTGGTACCCCTCCTCCTCACTGCTCCTTCCTTCATTTCCCCAAGCACTTAACCTCACTCAGTCCCTTTTCCAACAGGACAAACGCGTGTTGGCCCCGATTGCCACGCTTCAATTCTAAACTAGCCCTGAACGGCGCTCCCACGTCCACGCTCGGCCCCCAGAAATAAGTGCGTCCAGATAGCAGGTGCACAGCCGGCCCAGGTGAATGAGGAAAGGGGCCGGCCGGGCACCGACGACCCGCTGCGCGCATGCGCAAGGCCGGGCGCGGCTCCCTAAGGCGCGCCGGGCTTCTCCGCGTCCAGCCTCGCGCTCTCCTTAATCCCGCTCCACAGCCTGCGCTCCCCTCGACCTCAGTATCTGCTGGGGCTCTTATAGGGCTCCGCATGGGGGCGGCCCCGGCCTCTGGCGCCCGTCTCCGGAACGCAAGCGGGAAGCGGGCTCAAGGCCCTGTCAGGAGCCCGCGGTGGCTGTGGCGGCGGGGCGCGCGTTACCTCTCCAGGGCCTGCAGGGTGTAGCTGATGAGCGGCCTCTCCAGGATAGGGCAGAACTGCTTCGGGGTCCCGACGCCCATCCTCTCCCCGCAGCCGCCAGCCGGCAGCACGGCCGCCACGGTCGGCATGCGGCGCCCGGGCTCGCCGGAGGCCGCTAGGGCCGCGCCGCTCACGCAAGGCCCCGGCTTGGCGGGCCTGGAGTCGCCGGCCGCTCCTGGCTCCATGGCGGCGGGCGGCGTGGCAGGGACCCCCACCACCACCACCACCACTCGACCCGCGGCTGCTTACTGCCGCCGGCCGGGGGTCGCGAGATGGAGGGACGGGTGCGCGGGCGGAAGGAGCCGCCCCGGGAACGAGGCCGGTCGTGGCGGGTCCTCCGCGGCGGCGCGGCGGCTGTGGCGGCGGGCCCAGCGCCCCCGGGCGGGCTGGCTTCCCGCCTCTGGGCTCCTGGCGGGCAGGCCGAGGGTCGCCACTCCCTGCGGGTCTCGGAGCCCGGCGAGCTGGGCCGACGAGGCGGAACAGCCGTTCCGTGGGCAGGGGCGGCCGGGACTCCGTCCCTCTCCTCGCCGCTGCGGGACTGGAGCCAAACCCCAGTGTGCGCGCGCCTGGGTCCCATGGAAGCTCCCGGGGTTTCCTGGGTGCACTTCGGGATGAGACAGGTGCGCTGACGGAGGTTGCCCTGAAACATCCACAACCCGGACCCCCGAAGGGTGGTGGTTCTCAAACCTGGCTGAGCGTTATAACTGCCGGGGCGGGGGCGCGTGGCTGTGCCTGTGTCCCCGCCGAAGACTGGAACTTAACCGGTCCACTCCGTGGGCCCAGGCTGCTCAGGTGAGAGAAGCAGCAGGCACACTTTTGGGACCCAGACAACGCAAAATAGATGTGGACAAGCAGAAACTGTTAAATGAAGTCTCTGGCATGCAGACTCCCTGAGAGCAGGGGCCTTGCATTTTTTGGCTCATGTCTGTGTGCCCAGCTCCTGAGGTGTGACAGAAGCATGATATTCATGGAATGAATTGCTGATTGACTAAACGACTAATCCAAGTGTCTATGATGGCTAATTCATACTTAGCAACCTTCACCTGACAATGACTAATGTAAGATAACAATAACTTTTAAATGCTAAAAACATCTAGAGATAGTCCAATTATCATTTTACCTGCTAAAAGCACGCAAAAATACAAGTTCTCTACTCTCATCCTCTTTGTTGTTATTGAAAGTATTGTTTCACTTCTGGTTTTTTTTTTTTACTTGTTTTTTGAAGATTTATTTATTTGGCAGAGTTATGGAGAGGGAGAGACAGACAGACAAGAGATCTTCCATCCTCTGGCTTACTTCCCAAATGGCTGTGATGGCAGGGGCTGGGCCAGCCCAAAGCCAGGAACCAGGAGCTTCTGAGTCTTCCATGTGGGTGCAGGGTGCCAAGCACTTGGGCCATCTTCCACTTCTTTCCCAGGTGCATTAGCAGTGAGCTGGATTGGAAGTGGAGTAGCCAGGACTCCAACAGGCACCCATATGGGATGTAGGCACTGCATGCTGTGGCTTACCCAGCTACACCACAGCACCGGCCCCAATTCTGTTGTGTTCGTCGTTAGCTCTTCCACTAGTTGAAATGTGTCCGACTCTTCACTCAGATAAAGAACGGACATTGTGATGTGTAAACTTCTCGTGATTTTTTTATTGCTAGAGTTTCTTTCTAATTGGGTCTTGAAGTCTCTCTTGAGCATGGCCATAAGCCACATTGGCCACTCTGGGAGAGCCAGAGTCGGGGATCTGATTACTTACAGGTCCAGCACAGAACAGGGAGAACCGTGGAGGCAGACAGGAGGTCAAGAGACCACAGGGCTTGGCCAGCAACAGGTGGGAATCCAGCAGGAAAAGGAGGACCTGTGCACCCTGCCCTTTGGTTCTCAGGCCTTAGCCATTAGAGTGTCCAGAGTTGGTCATGAATGGTCAAGTTTAAAGAAAGTAAACACTCAAGGGGCTCTTAGATGATGCTGGTGTTGACTCATAGTCAGCAGCTATCAGATGAGGAGCACGTAAGCTACACTGCAAACCATCAGGCAAGGAGGGAAGTTGTAACCGGGCCACAGGTGATGTGTTTCAACAATGTATGTCATGTTGAGCCCACAGCTCTATTAAACAAAATCATGACAAACTCAGCTTTGTAACTCCATTGCCACATCTGTGGCCAGCCTATGCTCTTCATTCAGTATATATTTGTTGATTAACTAGATGGCTAATTGAATAAATGGGTCTGTAAACCAAAAAGACAAATTATTGATATTGATCATTAAACCTCTCTTTAAAAGTGGAGTTAAAATTATTCTTCCTTTTATTGGTCTTGAGGGATGCAAAGTGTAATAGTAAAGATCTTATTATAGGGGTTAGAGCTGTGGTATGAAGGTTAAGCCACTGCCTGCAGCACCGCCATCCCATATGGGCAAAGGTTGGAGTCCATCCCAGCTGCTCCACTTCTGATCCAGCTCCCTGCTAATGTGCCTGGGAAAGCAGCAGAAGGTGGCCCAAGTGCGTAGATCCCTGTACCCACATGGAAGACCTAGGGGAAGCTCCTGGCCAGTCATTGTGGCCATCTGGGGAGTGAACCAGCAGATGGAAGATTTCTCTCTCTGTCTCTCCTTCTCTCTCATAAATCTCACTTTCAAACACATAAATAAATCTTTAAAAAAAAAATCTTGTTATATGAATTGCCAGAGTATCAAATAATTAGACCCTGACAACTTTTGCACAATTTTTCCTTAGGACAGTCAGAATACAGCTGTTCCAATCCATTTACAGACTTCGGATCTCCAGAACCATAAGAATAAATTTGTATTGTTTTGACCCACTCAATTTCTGATAATGTGATACAACAGCAAGAGGAAATGAATGCAGTTTTATACCTGGGAAGAGCTGCAGTTTATATTCCAAGTATAATTTCCAAACACAGCTGTCCATAGTGAGAAAAATATGGAGGAAATTGAAAAAATAAAGCACTGGTCATTTTTTAAAAAGTTTATTTATTTGAAAGTCAGTTACAGGCCGGTGCCGTGGCTCACGTGGTTAATCCTCCGCCTGCAGCGCTGGCATCCCATATGGGCACCAGGTACTAGTTCCTGTTGCTCCTCTTCCAGTCCAGCTCTCTGCTGCGGCCTGGGAAGGCAGTGGAGGATGGCCCAAGTGCTTGGGCCCCTGCACCCGCATGGGAGACCAGGAGGAAGCACCTGGCTCCTGGCTTCGGATCGGTGCAGCACGCCGGCCGTGGCAGCCATTTGGGGGGTGAACCAATGGAAGGAAGACATTTCTCTCTCTCTTACTCTCTCACTGTCTAACTCTGCCTGTCAAATTAAAAAAAAAAAAAGTCAGTTACAGAGAAGGAGGTTCAGAGGGAGAGAGAAGTGTCTTCCATCTGCTTGTTCGATCCCTAGATGGCCGCAATGGGCAGGGCTGGGGAAGCCAGAAGCCAGGAGCTTCATCCAGGTCTCCCACATGGATGCAAGTCCCCAAGCACTTGGGCTACCTTCTGCTGATTTTCCAGGCCATTAGCAGGGAGCTGGATTGGAAGTGAAGCATCCAGGACATGAACTGGTGTCATATGGGATGCCAGCACTGCAGGTGGGCAGCTTTACCTGCTAAGCCACAGGGCCAGCACTGTGGAGCTTTCTAATATATCTTGAAGTCAGATAGTGTCAGTCCTCTACTTCATCTTCAATGCTGTGTGGCTCTTCTAGATCTTGCTTTTCCGTGTAAACTTTAGAATCAGTTGGTCAATATTCCCAAACCAATTTACTGACATTTTTGCTGGAATTGCATTAAAACTATAGATCAACTTGGAAGAACTGATATCTTGATCATATATACCACATTTGAAATTTGCTTTTTCAAATCCTGGAACTGGAAATAGAGTAAGAGTCATATATTATAGTAGACTTCTCCCTGGAAACAAGTGTGGCAAGCCAGAAAAACAGCCAAAGAAACCATCAACAGAGAAAGGCAAATCAGATGGTTGGCAGGCGAAAGGGCTCACTTTGACTTCTGGAAATGCCTAGTGTATTTCAGCTTCTGATTGCAACCTGAGTAGAAGCAAAGATACCCCACATAGGAATAATAGCAGCCAAAGCAAGTGCGGCTTTGCCTGGAGAAGCCGCACAATGGGAGGTGAAGCTACATTTGTAGCTCTCAAGCTGGCCACACATGAGAATTATCTGGGGGGTTAGGGGAGCGGGGCAGTTTACAGGTGCTGCTGCTGCATCAGAACCTGAGACAGAGCTCAGAGGGGCCTATTCTGATGAACACCTCTGTCGGTTATCACCCTACCAATATGAAAAACCGGTCTAGTTTAGCAGCTTGTAACTAATCAAGGTGAACAGTGGGCAGTGGTTGTGTAATGGGTCAAGCACTGATCAGGGAATGGATTTGCTTTTACTCCTTGGTAATATAGGCTTGTTGAGTGATCGCAACTAATTGCATGTCAGGCACAGAACTATGTGCACATGTGGGTAATAACTCCTTCAGGTCTCATGTTTCGTAGCAACTCTGAAATGAGTGGCCAAAGGAAGTGATGCACTGTGACCCCAGGACTGTCAAAACCGTATTTGACCCTGAAGGAGAGGACAACATTTCCAACTTGCTATCAGTAATCCTCACACTGAGCATCATCTCTTTAATGCCTCTTTTGACAAAATATTACAACAAACTATTCTCTAGTAAACAATGAGCAATATCTCCTGGAACAAATTTTCCAGGATGCGATGAGATACAGTAAGTGAAGAAAGCACTGAAAGCCAAAACATGCCATAGAAATAATGATCTTTTTAAGCCTTAAATGATGGCTGTTACACCATCATGCCTTAATATCAGTTAATTTTTCCTCCAAGTACTTCTATTCACTGATTTCATTATCTGAATTTAGTTTCTATTACTTCAAAGTAGTTACTTCAAAAATTACCCTGAAAATTTTATGACATAAGCCAAAAAGAAAGACCACAGTTCTTCTTGAATAGAAGTGGTAAATAAATGAATAGATTGAAATTGAGTTCTCTATTCATGATGAAATATCCCCCAAAATTGTATAGTGACCATTTTTAATGGTCTTTGTAGTTGAACCTCAAAAAGTTTTTTTAAAGTGTTAAATATGTTGAATTCATTTTTCAAAGAGACTTAGAAAAACTTGGAGACATCGTTACCCTTTGCAAAAACCATATTTTTACTTCCCCAGTAATTTGTCCTTACTTGGATAGAGACCAAGGCTAACCACATTGCAAAATTCCAGAGTCACTGTGCCCAGAAAATATACCATAAATGTTGCCTCCTGGAGTGGGTAGTACAATGGCCCAGATGGAAACTGACATTCATTATCCTGTTACTTCTGATTAATAATTTTAGAAGACTGGGGGAGGAGAGGCAGGGATTGTGTGTGTGTGTGTGTGTGTGTGTGGTTTTGGGTTTTAAGAAGCAATTATATACTTTTAAATTGTACATGTTTTAGATCCTTCAAAGAACAGATGAGCAAAAATTTGTTTCTTTCCCACCTCTCTCTGATTGAAAACCCATTCATTGAACTAGCATCCAAAAAATTGAATTTCAATATGACCATAAACTTGAAGTGGAAAATGTTTTCTTGTAAAAGGGGTGTCTGTACAAATAATAAGGAATTGAAATGGGCTCAACTAAAGAGTTTGTTGTAGAGGGAAAAGTGATCTCTTCATGAA